TCCTCAGCCACATGGCTGAGGAAGTCTGGGAGTTGAAGTCTACAAGTCTTAAAGTTGCCAAGGTTGGAGATCCTTGACTTAGACAACAACTGGTTCCAATGATATTTCTTCATGTTTGCTTTTCCAAATGAGAAATATCAAAGTTGTTAAATATATTACAACAATTTGTGGTATGCAATAGGAGTTTTGACCCTGCTAGCCTTGTTTTTTCCCCTTGGCATTTCAGCCTGGATATTTGCTGTGGCCATCTTGGGAGATAATATAATGGGTTTGATAGCCAGAATGCATATTTATTTCTATTGTTGTTGGCATTTCATATTAACTTCCTAGAATTGCTTTGGTGAATTAGGCAGCTGTATAAATTAAATAAAACAACAATTAATGTTTTTAAAACTTGAATAATTTCAACAGAAATGTGATTCACAACAGTTTTAGTAGCAGGGATTCGTAAAACCTGTAGTGTCACAACCCCCCACCCCCCAAAGAAATCAAATAAGTTTGGCCTTTCTTATCACCTCAAAATCACAAATTCAGGACTTACCTCTAAATAATAACATTTAACTAAATTGAAACTTTTGAGAAGTGGCATGATTTTCAAATGAGACAACATCTTGCGCATAAAGGTGGATAGCATTTATTGAAAATAAAGGGTTAGAAAAATGTTCCCATTGCATTTCTCAGAGAACTAAAGACACAAGAAAAACGATTTGATACCCATTGGATGTACATGGTAAAACATGAGAATACTGTCTTCCTTATTTAACTCCTCCCTTTTCTACTATCAATTTAAAAGATTTTATTAGTTGAAGAGGCATTGGCTACAGTCCTAAAACTAAGTGGCCACACTTCTGTTGAGAATGCCACCTTATTGATGTCACTCAGTCCTTTTCCTCAGGTTCTACTGAGCTAAACAGGTATATGTATCCATAAAATATTGGGAGACATTTTAGTGCATAATCCATAGTCATTGCACATTACTTTCTACTACCAAGGAATGAGTACATATTAAATGTTTCAGTCATATTTTTGTATTTTCAATACAATTGTTGCTAAACTCACATGTTTAAACTCTGGTTATCAGAAAGCCAGCTGCATGACTTTGGAATAGTCTCTCTTTCTCTCTCTCTGCCTAACTCACCTTACAGAGCTGTTACTGAGGGGAAAATAAGAGACGAAAAGCCCTTATTATGTATTTCATAAGGATAGGATAAGGATAGGAAGGATATAAATCTAATCTCATATAAATGAATTCATACAACTGAACCAGTTGGCTAGATAACACCCTTGGTAACACCTGGGTAAAAATATCAAATAAAACAACACTTGAACAAAAAGTTGGTACCTTGATAAGATGCCAACTGCCATTAAATTCATCTGGTTGAGAAAGGTAATATAAATTCTTTGATTGCTTTTGATTGATTGAATAATGAAGTGGGAGCTGGGAACTGGGGAACGTAGATGCCCAAGGCTTCGTGAGGTTTGTTCCTACCATGTTCAACCATAGTTGTTACTAGATACCAGGAAAATAAATTTACATTTCTTTTATTCTCACATTAGGTCAGGTACTCCATACAGATATTGTTTATTTGCATGCTGGTAAAGGAATTCATGAAGCCCAGAAGATCCGGAAACTTCTGTTGGATCACAAGTATGTTCATCTTAATGTTGCTTTTCCCTATACAGTATGTTTCACTGCTGATCAGCAGTATAGAAGACAAATTAGGTTGCTTTTGATATTTTAGAATTTTTATAGGAATATTTGGAAGAATATAAATGCATTAATGATGTAATGAGGGCTACTATTCCATGTCAGGCTCTTCAAATTTCCCAGAGGGAACACAATGGTAAAATGTAGTTAGAACCTTCTGTATATAGTTCAGGAATGAAAGAGAGATGGGATTATAGATGAAGGCAAAAACCCTGTTTATATTTCATTTGAACCAGAATAGTGAGTTTGGTCCTTTGTACAGGAGGTACTTCCTCCCTTCATCAAAGCAGAAAAGTTTTGAAATTGCTCCATTAATTTGGGGCCTAGCCAGGTAGAATGCATTTGGTACATCTGTGGTTAAGAAAGTAGCGGGTCTCATATTCCACCTCCTTCTCTAATGTAAATTCCCCTTCACATACTATCAAAGCAAACAAATATCCCTTCACATACTAACAAAGCAGCTTCTAGTTGCAGGAATTCACCTGCAATATGTATTAGGTCTGTGGTCAGCTACTAGCTACCTTATCTTTAATATGGTGTCAAGAATAGATGTAAGTGCATTTGGGTTTCATTCCCATTGCATGCTCATTCATACACCTTACACCGTCATCACTTGTGTATTACTTCTATCAGTACTTTGATGAGAAAAGGAAAAAGTACATAAAACTCTTTTTGGAAGAATGCAAAGCCTCCATATTTTTAAGGCAAGCAGATTTCCTTTTCCATATTACATTGGAAGAGGTTATGTGGGAAGAGAAACAAAAATGAGAGTTGGAGTATATGATGGCCTTAGATGACCTTAATTGTAATGCTATTTCTTTCCCTCCCTCTCTCTCCTAAAAGCTGTTTCACTATTGTGATTGGCAATGGAACAGCTTGTAGGGAAACTGAAGCTTACTTTGCTGACTTAATTATGAAGAAATACTTTGCACCTTTGGATGTCACTTACTGGTAAGAAAATATAAAATAGTACTACATTATTTGCATTGGAGTCCAGAAGAATTTGTTTTTATAGAAATGTTTTGGGATGATAAATCCTTTACATATCATATCACCATCTACTCCATTAGGCTGTTTTCAAATCTAAGCCATAATCCTAGGTAAATAAATACCATTCTTGTGCTCATGCAACATGCCATAACTAGACAATTACATCAAAATAAGGCATCCCCTAATAGCCTAATTTACATAACAGTGGGTCAGTTCCTATAATATAATGAACACAAACAATTCTGGAAAATGTATGGATACAATCTTTACGTTTAAAGATAATCAAATGTCTAAATAATACCAAATCAGACTGTTTTTTTTTTCATTCTCGTGCTTTTTGAAATATCCTTTTTATTAAAAGACTTTTTTTAAAAAAAGTACATTTCTTGTGACTTTTGAAATGGCCAGATAAAAAGGTTGTTTATACAAAATTTATATTAAAATAAAGTTATATATAACTTTATTGTTATATTTAACAATATGTTTGTTTTTAGGATGTATTGTATTACATAGTGTAGGATAATATAAAGGCTATATTTGGTGATGCTATTTGGTGGATCTCCTTAGATTTTGGAAGGGATTTATTAAAGTAGCCCTACCAACTATTGTCAGCATTTCTCCTTATTCCAGAATAAGACCTGGCAGAATTTAGTTCTTTTCCAAGAAGAGCCAGAGAAAAAAAAAACAGCAGCTATTGCAGGCATTGATGGTGATTATTATGTTTTCTATAGAGGGTCTAGTGTTGCTGATAGGCTTGCTGGAATGTTTGCCCCCCCCTCCCCCGAACTTCCTGATGTTATCATCACCTTGTATTAGACCTAGTACTGGAACCCAAAAAGGAGGAAGACTTGCACATTGGATATTTGGCATGTAAAGGATGTCTCAGCCCATAGAAGGAAAGGGAGTGTAGGAAGCATTTCAGAAGGCTCCCTCCCCTAATTTTCCAGAGAGTAAAAGGAAGGGAGGGAGAGTTTGTTTGGTATAAAGGTTAAGGCATCAGGCTAGAAATTGGGAGACTCTTGAGTTGCGGTCCTGTCTTAGGCGTGAAATCAGCTGGGTGACTGTGGACCAGTCATTCTGTCACAGTCCTAGGAAAAATCTTTCTAGGAAAACTGCAGGAACTTGTCCAGGCGGTGGTCAGGAGTCAGAGTTAACTTGAAAACTCACACAAAAGGGAAGGAAAGGAGAAATATTTTCAGACTTGCAAGATTCTGTTAATGTAAGCTTATTTTAAAGATAAGAGTTAGTATTCATTGTTGTGCTTCTTGTCTGTACTTTCTTGGGGGGCAAGAGATAACACAGATGCTAGCAGAGGAAAAGCGACATACAAACTTTCTTGCTTTCATTTGTTTTGTTTGTTTGAAAAAAGCTAAATTCTTAGTTTATTTGAATCTGGTTTTCATAATTGTTAATAGTTTAAGGTTCACTAAAAAATAGATGTAAAGCTTTTGACACTAGTTAAGAAAAAGACTAGGGGGAAGCAGGTAAGGTTACTGTGAATATCAAATATAATTTAAAAAATAAAATAAAAAGTTGAATGTTTAAGATGGCAGTCTGTGCTTTCAATATACCTTGAATTATTAATCCCATAATCCTTGTTGTGTATACTGAAATTTGTGGCGGCAGTAGTCACAAACATCTACCTCCCCTTCTGCATATATGTTCTGAATTAGCTCCCATTGATCTTAGGTGGATATTCTTAGATAGATGAGTCTAAATTTACAGTCTAAAATAAATTCTGTATAAATATTTATTTTAAATAACAATGTACCATGATATGTACCATGATTTGTAAATCCCTTAGAAGATACTAAGCTACTTCCTGCATACACTCAATGATTTCTATGGTGCATTCTTAAAGTATTTTTCTTGGATTCTAATTGATTAAAACAATGTTGAATTGTATTTATTTACTTTATTTATTCAATTTGTATGTTGTATGAGTTCGCAACAATAAATAACATAAAAACAGCAGAGTACAAAAATAACTATAAAACATTCACAAACGAATATTTTAAAAAAATCACTTAACACGGGAGTCCTATCTCTGTTTGCTTATAGACTTATATGCCAGACCGTGAGTGACTTATATATCTTATTTACATAGATAAAAAGTAAGTTATTTAAGGTTAAAAAAGTAGTACTTAATATACAATATTTATATATTTATTAAATTTAGAAGATCATCCAACAGACTCTGGACAGCATACAAAATTATTAAAACAAGAAAAGAATGGTATACAATCAGCTGAACAATCCAGCTAGTTGTTAAATCCTATGGGAGCGCAGTGCCTGTTAAAGCCTGAGGCCTAGGGAAAAACTTTGTAGCTAGTTCCTGTAACCTTTTCAAATTTGAGATTATTTTTGTTGTGCTATTATTTTTAAAATTTGATCAAACCTTTTTTTCTTCCCAACCATCCCCTCCCCACTTTTCTAGAAATGGGCAGGTATTGATCATCTTTTATATTGCCAAAATTAAGCAAACTGTACCTGAGATCTAATTTCCAACAAACTGTTTTCAGTTGCTGAAACTGGAATATCAATAATACATGCTTTGCGCTTTCCTAATGGGGTTGTTTCTTGGCTTTCATGCGTGGCCTTTCATTTGCGAGCATTTTGGTTTAATGTTCTAATTCTCCGACATTTCGTAGTTCCTGTATAAAGCTTTATGTGTAAACTAACATTTTGACTCTAATGCGTGCTATATTGATGAAGATCTGCCTTATTCTCTCTGGATTTTTAAGAAATGCCACTTTCAAGTCCTCTTGCTTCCTCTATATCTAGTATTTCACCTCGCCTAATTACCTTTACTTTTCTGCTTCACAGCACTCTCTCCGTTTGAAGGGCAACTTAACATTTAGGTTCACATTATGATAATTATATTTCAAGACCATGGTGGGCAGGGATTAAGAGGTCTTTGCTCTGGTTGCAGATAAAAAGGGTTCAGATCCACTTGTAAAACTAGATTGGTTAACAGCCCATAGTTTTCATTATGTTTGCTACTCATGCGGCATTAATTCTTAATTCATCAGGTACCCAGGGTGCTGTAACTCTAGAGGTGACCTTGGGACTTGATTTACCTCAGCTCAGTTTTCTTTGTTAATGTACCATGAAAGAAATACATGAAAGATAGCCAACTTCAAAGCTCCTTTTAAAGTAAAATGGTTGATACAAATCCCCTGGCGTTTAATGATGTCTGTAAAATATTTCAGCTGTCTTATATTCTTTTACAAGCTTTTGCTTGCTACAACTAAATCAGTTTGTTTCATGTTTGGTTGGAAATATAAAAGGATCGAAGGGTGGGTTGTTGTTGTTGTTGTTTCTGAAATTTTCAAAATTATGCTGAAAATTTATTAAGAGTACAGTCTCATTATTGCCTAGAAATGAGTTCTACTGAATTTAATAGGGCTTACTTGCAAGTAAGTGTGTATGAGATTGCAGCCTAAGATTTACTTCACAGTAAATATCTGGTAAGTGTTGCAATCAACCTTACTTGTTCTTTTGTAGGAAGCCATGTTAAAATTAGATGTACAAAAATGGCAATTAAATAAATGTATTAGTAAGTTTTTTAAACTGGAAATAGGTTATTATAAATCAGTAGTCCCCAAGGACCACTGGCACCAGGATCTGGTTTCATGGAGGACACTTTTTCCATGGATCAGGAGGAATGGTTTTGGTTTCACTAACTCACCTGCCACTCACTTCCAGCTGTGCAGCCCAGTTCCTAACAGGCCATGGACTGATACTGGTTTGTGACCCGGGGTTGGAACCCCCTGTTATAAATGTCAGCAAACCTTAAATACAGATTTTGCTTACCAGTATTTAGGACATTTTGGAATATTTTTCAGCCTTGCATGATAAGGTGCACCCCCAAAATCTCTGTTCAGAGTTATTAAAAAGAACATTCACCATTCTTTTCCTTTCAGCCTAATTATTTAAAAGTATATGTGAGGAAAGCAGCCGCAACAAAACCTTTGCATATATAGAAATAAAGAAATAAAATCAAATTAAAACTGGCACAAGATTTAAAAAAAAACTAGGTTTCAGCCCTTCTAATAGTTGTGTGCCTTGAGCTCTTTGGGTCTCAGAAATGATTCACAAATACTTGATATTCAGATGGTAGCTATGACCAAAGGGTCCTTTGTGCAACTTGATATGCTAGTTGTGCCTCTTTGGGGGTTGGTAGACCTACTCATAGTCACTCCCACTTTAGTCACCTCCCAATTAGATTACTGTAGTGTGTTCCATGTGGGGCTGCCCTTAAAGACCATCCAGAGGCTACAATTGTTCTAGATGCGGCAGTACACATTGCTATTGCAGTGGCCACTTCTTGCTATGTCTTTGTGACACCACCATTCTGCAAGCTGCACTAGATCCTAATTGGCTTCTGGATAGGTACAGGTTATCTCCTTTAAAACCCTACATACAACCATTTACTTGAAGACCACATCTTCAGAGGACCTATACAAGGGAGGGCAACTTCCATTGTTGAAACAATGTGCTCTTGTAACCAAGGTAATTTATGGAATTACCTTCCTCCTGATATATGATTGGCCTTAATCCTTTTCTCTTTAGAAAGGTTATTGATAACCTTGCTATCTTGGGATCAGAGTAATGAGCCATGGAGATGATCTTAGACCACAAAGTTGTTAGCTTAGCAACAGATACTGAAATAGGCTTTAAGATGAAGTACCAGAAAAGTATAAGAAATTCAAGATTGATGCCTCCCTGACTAGTGGGAGTATAAGTGGGAGGGAAGAAAATCAGATTTTCAAGATTTTGTCACTATAACCTATCTCAAGAAAATATAGTTTTTCTTGTGCAGCTTGCAGAATGGTGGTGTCATATAGACATAGCAAGAAGTGTCCATAGCAACCTGTACTGCTGTATTCTGGAACAACTGTAGCTAGTCTTCCTATCAAGTCAGATTCCTGATCAGGTCTATGTTGTAAGGTTGACTG